TAGTGTATTTTAGAAACTATAAACAACCAAAATACCAATCAAAGGAATTTACATTTTTCATTTCTTGTTAATATTCATTCCCAGTTTTATTTTTGTATTATATTTCTCCCAATTGGTACAAAACAATGATTGTTGTACCCGCAAAGTAATGTAATAGCCCAACTATCCCTCGTCCCGCGTAGCGACACGTCAAAGGCATACCCCGTCTGGTGTTTTTATTTACTGTTACGTAGGCGGGTATAAAACTTTATTGCCTCCACAACGGTCACTGGGATATCTAGGACAGTTTTTGGGTATGTTGCAAAGTCTCTCGGTATTTGCTTAACGGGTGCGGGAGTGGGTGTATGTAAATCTCGTGCGCATACTGTAAAGGCTCAGACGACTACTGTACATAAATTTATGACAAATATTTTACAGCTGGAGCCACAGAACAGATGGTGTTACATGAATAGGCATATCAACATAACATTAGACCCATTGATTAACTCAAAAGACATTATACTCCTGCAAGAATGGTCACCATGCTATCACAAATAATCGGTTCATACTCAAGTTAATTAAAATATTACATGAACACAAGATTTGTTTACCAGAGCTAGTTTTCCTAAATAGTCAAAGAGGTAGATCATCTTCATTTAACTTTATTACATTTAAATTGAATGTTGTTTAATTAGGCATTGCTGTAGCTTGTGTGAGGCAGATGGTTCCTGGCTTTGATGGTTACGCACATCGCAGATATTCTCTCCGGATCTTTAGGAATTGTAATCGAGACAGTCGACATAAGTTGTGTGGGCACATAACAATAAACCAAATGTGATTGAAAACACAAGAATAACAAAATAGAAAATAAACCGATGTATTCTTAAAGTGTTTAATAAGGACAGGGAGACAAGGACAGGAGATGTTTCTGGTTTTCACTTTTTAATCAAATTAATGATTTCCTTAGGTTATTCCGTCACATTCTCAGTGATTCAAAGTCGATGAGTAATTCCACACTGAAATACACACAAGTCATATTAGGTAGAGACTAACATAGC